TTTTATTTGGCCTCTTATTTACAAACTAGCCATATACAAAGTTTCATACATTTATATTCTAATTTTACATTTAACTAAAATTATATATAATTTTATAATAATCAATATTTGACACTAAATAAATAATTAATTGGTTTATATAATTCATATAATAAATAATCCCTATTTTCTTGATATCTGCTACAGGTTAAAATTATATGGTCTAAAGATCCCACAGCCTTCCCACAGTCACAAATAGCTGACTCTCTCATCTTTATTTTGTACAGGTGTTCTGGAAAATGTCCATGGTTATATCTAATTCTATTCATCGTACTTATAAAGTATCTATCTTCATTTTTGAATTGATGAAACCAGGGTTCCTTTTTAACAAAGTCGTTAACCCCTTTATAATATTTTCCTTTATATCTTGATGTTATTTGCCTATCCATTTTCCATCTATTTACTGCTTTATTTTTCATTTTAATACTTGGATTATATTCCATTCCCTTTAAGGAAGCATATTTGGCTAATTCATCAGCTTTTTCGTTTCCTGCAATTCCGGAGTGCCCTTTTACCCATCCTATCTTATATCCTTTCCATTTTCTTTAATGTACTCCAAATCCTGCAAAATATCAATATAATTGTTTTATTATAATTCTGTTCTTGAGCTTTTCTTATGGCCTCCTTAATCGCAAATAACTCCGCTGTATAGATAGAAACACACCCTAGTAGTTTGTAACATTCATTTGTTTGATCGGTTTCTTTATATATATAGCAAAATCTACATTGTCCATATTCTTTGATCCATCCGTAAATATAACTTTTACATCTGAATTATTATTAATAGATTTTAATATATCAATATTTATAATATTATCAAATATATAACTGTCAAAATATATTTTATTAAATATAATAAGGGTGAATGCTGAATGAATACATACTTTTCTGATATTTAAATACTTCTCTAAAACTCTGAATAATAATAGATATTTTTTTATTCAGCCAATAAATATTACGTTCGTATTTATTATTTAAATCACTAATTCTGTCATATATTTCAGATGAATTAAAATTATTTTTTTTCCACATATATTTGTCACTCAACCATTCATATCTGACTTTTAGTGGCATCACTCCATTTTCTAATAACAGTACATTTGTTGGTGTCGATCTCATCATACCTGCGCAAAATGTTAAACATTTGTATTGAATTTTTCAACTCATTTACCAGATTAGAATGTCCAAAAATTATGCTACCATATTCTAGTATTGATCTAATTTTTGTTTTATATAAATTAATATATGTGATGGATGACCGAGTACTGTTTATTTTTCTCATTAGATTGATATTTTTTTCAATTCTTTTCTTATTATAGTTAATGATATTTAAAAGTCATTTTCTGATCAAAGTATATGCCTAAGAATTTGTTATAGCTATGAATTTTAATTGTATTATATGGACTTGAAATACAAGCTGGGAACTTTCTGTTGGAATGCCTGGTGAAACTTCCCATGGAGCTTTTCTCATCTGATAGTTCCAGACCTTTCTCATTCAACCAAATATGCAGCAATTCCATATACATAGATATCATATCAATGGCCTCTTTCAAATTATCTTTTTCAATATAAATCAATAAATCATCTGCATATTGTAGAATTTTCGTACCTTCCAATCATATGCCTTCTATATCACGTACATATAGAGCATATAATAAGGGACTAAGGATAGCTCTTTAAGGTAGCCCCTGTCGAAGAACTCTTCCAATCTTTGCATTTTCATTGGGTTTAACTACGATTTCTCTATGGAAGGTAGAATATATCATAGCATTGATCAATTTTTCTGGTAAGCCAGCATGTACAAGACTTCCTGCTAATTTTCCCGGCACCACATTATCGTATGCACGCTTTATGTCGCAAAACAGTGCAACGACATAAGTGTTTCTTGAAAAAGCTAGATGTATGTCTGTGGAAAATATACTTAAACTATCTTGCGTGCTTAATCCTTTTCTAAAGCCAAATTGGCTTTTGGGCAGTAACTGATTGTTTTCAATCCACCACTCGACTCTTCTTTTTATCATCCTATCTTTTATTTTAGCAATACATGACGCTAAAGTAATTGGTCTATATGCATTGCTATCATCAGAATTATTGCTCTTCTTTTTAATTAAAATAATTCTATATTTATTCCAATCAGGAATTTCATTCGGTGACAGCCAATACTTATTAATAATTTTGAGTAGAATTTCTTTTCCGGACTGTGGAAGGTTTTTTAACATAGAATAATGGATGTTGTCTAATCCTGGAGCAGTATCTTTGATTTTACTCCAAGATTTTTCTAATTACCATAATGAAAATGGTCTAATTAATGACTCTTCTACCGAACCTGTTGCTCTATTTCCTTTAAGATATTTACCAATATCATCACCCACTTCAAAGGGCGCAATATTATCAACTACCTCTTCCACTGCTTTATCATTAATCAACTCTGAGTTTTTCTCATTCTGTGAAATATAATTGTTCATTGATTTAACCATTTTAAAAATAATTTTAGATAGAGTATTATTAGGATTTAGACAAATTTACACCAACTTTCTCTTTTCTTTATTTTTAGTTCTTTACGAACTTTAGCTTTAATTTTATTACACTGAAGAAAATTTTTTAAACTCGAAGTTCTTCTGAAGTTTCTTTCTGCTTTTCTACGTTCTTCTACCAGTTTAAAACATTCTTCATCCCACCACACCGGTTTCCTCACTTGAGATGGTGTTTAAATTTTATTTATTGGTATACATTTTTCCGCAGTTAGATTTATAGTATTTTAATTTTTCATAAATATTACCATCTAAATTGTTGCTCAAAGATAAGATATCATGTTCAAACATTATTTTATATTTTTGCCAATCAGCTTTACCACAATTCCATTTTCTATTGGGAATCAATAGCCTGTTACTTCTCACTAAATCCAAATAAAAATAAATAGGATAATGATCGGAGCCTAAGTTTTCCTCTATTACTTTACATGTTATTAAATGGTATATTTCAGCAGAGCACACAGTAACATCAACTACAGTTTTAGCGTTTTTAAACACCAGTTTTTTAACTCAGAGTTGGAGAACCATTATTTAATACAAATAAATTACACTCTTCTATTGATTCCATTAAATTCATTCCGTAATTATCATTATAATTACATCCCCAGGAATGGTGATGCGCATTTACATCTCCAGCTAAAATGAACGGTCTAGGAATATTCTCAAATAAATATTTCCATTGTTGTTTCGTAATGTGTGTACCTGGCGATATATATATTGATACCAAATATATTTTTATCTCCTAATATTATTGATATTGCATATAATGGGACTTTGTTTATATCTATTTCTCCAATATCTATATTTACAATCTGATAGTTAACTCTTTCGTTAATAATTATAGCCGCTCCACCTTTTCCGTCATATCTGTCAGTTCTGATTATATTGTAATTTTTTAAATAGTACTGTCGGTTCCATTTGAACCAAGGTTCTGATAAAAATATAACATCAGTTTTATTTTGATATATAAAGATTTCCAAACTTTCTTTGTTAGAATTAAACGATCTAATGTTCCACTGTAAAAAATGCATAATGAAATTTATAGATTTGTTTTTAATTTGAATTTAACTGTTTAAAAGTTTATCAATTTTTTTTTAATTCTAATAATTTCAACTTATGTTATTATTATCAAAACCAACTTTATTTTATTGTTCACTAATATTTCTAACTTCCACACTATTAAACTTCTCGTAAATTATATCCATATTCTTTTTAAATTTTACCACAACTTCCTCTAGATCATCACATTCTTTGTTCCTTATTTTTTCTCCCAGTTTTTTAACTAGCTCCTCATGGATTATTTGTGATTTTCTAATTTCTTCTATTTCTATAATTTTGCCGCAATATTCACGCCTTTGTGAATTTCTCTCTTCACTTGTTTGTTTTAAATTCCTGTTATTCATTTGTATATATCTGCCATTTTCAGTTTGTCTTCTTTCCATAATTCTTCTAGGTTTATTCATCAGCATTAACCTACTTTGATCAATATTTATTTCTTGTTCTTGAAAATAACTTAGTACTTCATATCTATTTTTATTTATCATGTTTGTTCCGTAATTAACTGCTTCGTTAATTCTAGGAAATGCCTTTTTGAAGTCTGGATTGAAGTGATTTATTTTTGTTATTTCTGCATAATTTTGTTTCCGAAGAATAAATTTGGCCTCCGAATATAAAATATTCTGAAAAGCCATTAGATCTTTTACATTTTTATTAAATTGGTAAACTTCACAATTTATATCATTTGCTTCATGATTTTTGTGACAAAGAGCGCATTCAAAATCTTTTTCTATGTGACACAATTCAGTATTGTGCTCTCTAGAGCATTTTCGGCATTTTTTTTGGCCTTACATTGCAGGCGAATATGACCATACCGCCAACAATTGTGGCACTGTATGACTCTGTACAAATGGACTCACTTGAAGTTTTACTGAATATATAGATACTTTTTCTGGCAAATAATTACCTTTGAATATAATTTTGACCGTTTGCGATTTTAAAGTATTTGTATCTTTATTTCTTTTTTTAATACATATTACATCAATTATATCTATATCAGATTTTATAACTTCTTTAATTTCTGTCTCATCGATTTCTGCATCTACATTAAAAATTATCCCCGCCCTAATCACTTCCATTGTCACTTTCATATTCCATACAATCACTATTATTAATTAAATGCACTGCATTACTAATTTTTATACCTGTCTCGACTTCTGTACTCACTGCATTATTTCTATAAACCGATAACGGGACGTCATCAGGCCCGAGTTGCCTGTGACTCACCACACTTTGTTGTTGATCTATTATTTATATCAGGTATTTTACGCAACTAGATGTGTACTCGTCGACTGCTCGACGTTGAATGTTAGATGATTATTTAATGTCCATTGATGGAATTTAGACATTTCTCTTGTGAGTTTAGATATACATTCGTCAATACTGTTTTGGGATGTATATATGCTTATATCATCTGCATACTGTAGTATATGTGTGTCAGCTGTAAATATTTTTTCTACCTGAGCCATGTATATATTAAAAAGTAATGGTGATAGCAATGATCCCTGTGCTAATCCTTTATTTGTTTTTTTTGGGACCGTATAATTTGTTGTTTGCCTTTATAAATATCTGTCAATTTGTTATTAGCTTTAAAATTATATTCCTTATAGATCTTCCGACCTTAAAGTGTAATAATTTTTCATGGAGTATGCCTATATTTATTGAATCATATGCTTTATTAATGTCAGTAGTAATTAGGAGTAAATATTTGTTGAAAGAATAAGAAATATGAATATCATTAGTCAATTTTGATATTGACTCTAATAGTGATTCGTTTTCTAATAACCACTCCAATCTATTTTTTATCACCCTTCCAAAGGTTTTACATATACATGTTGACAAAGCAATAGGCCTTGTGCGTTTTTGTTTGGCTTTAATATTGGCATTAATATTGGCATAATAATTTGCGTTTTACAATCCGGTGGTATATAGTTCTTTATTACAAAGTCATTAAAAAGATTGTTTGTCGGTTCAAATAGTAAGATATGTTTTGGCATTATCTGGCAAGTGGATTAGCATAATGTAATGAATGTTGCCAATACCAGGTGAAGTATTCGCTCTATGTTTGATGGAGTTTTCTATTTTATCAAAGGAAAATTTTTCAAAATCATTTATTGTGTTTCCTTCATTATTATTTTTCGAACTATTATTTGGAATATTATTACCTTGTACAGCAAATAAATTCATTAGTTTCTATATAGTATGTTCTGGAATTATTGTATTTTTCCCACAGTATTGTTTGTCTAATTTTTTTACTGTTTTCTATATTTTGCTTGTATCAGTGTCTTTATTTATCGAATTCGTGAAGTTTATCCCGATATCTATTCTCTTTCTTTTGAAGAGCTTTTTTGTATATGCATTTATTTTGTTCTACTCCTGATAATTTATAAAATTTGAATTTTTCTTGTACTTCTTAAAAGCTGTTTTTCTCCTTAAGAATGCCTTTTGGTATTCTTCATCCCACCAAATTGCTGGAGTAAAATTGTTATTGTAAAACTGTTTGTATTTTCCGACGTACATTTCGTTGGCGGTATTAATTGTGTTGATGAAGATTTCATATCCCTGATCTGGAGATTGATATTTTTAACATTCATCAATTAGTATTTTTATTTCTTCGTCTACTTCTTTAATCTTCCATGTTCTGGATGGAGTTATTTCAGTACGTAAAGGGATGTTTGATCTAATTGTAATATTAATCGGTAGATGATCTGAGCCAAGCGGCTCATGTATCACTTTCCAACTTATTTTTGTCGCTAAATTAACTGAGCATAACGTTACGTCTATCGGAGATGAACTGCAATTGGGTTTTTCAATCTTACTGTTTGATCCATCGTTGAGTATCACTAGGTTATAATCTTCATTGCGTCATATAGTGCATTGTCTTTTGATGTGCTTTAAAATCTCCCGTAATTAAAAATGGACTAGTCATCTGCTGAAAAATTTGCTGAAAATAATGTTGTTCCAGAACCGCATCAGGAGCGACATATGTACTATTTATCGATATCTGTGCTGTAATATTTATTGTAATACCACAAATCTGAATTCTTGCATTATTGTTATTGATTTGAATCACTGAGTGTTTTATTGTTTTGTTGATGAGGATTGGCGTTCCTCCGTAATTGTCGTCTCTATCGCTTCTGACTATATTATGTTATAATTCCTTATGTGTGTTTAGATAGTGTTCTATGCTACCTCTGTTTGCTGTAAAAGATCTACAATTTAATTGAATTATTTTGAAAGGATCCATGTTTTTTTGTGATTTTGCTCTTGAGTGTATACTACGTATGAAAGATTTTATTTTATCTAGAATTCTTGCCGGCGCTGCGTCGTTCTTATTATTTATAATTTTCCTTATCGTTTTTGTGACCTGGATAATTGCTGACAATGGTTGTTTTCGTTTGTGATTATTATTTATGATGCTTTGTTGATTGGTTTCATGTTTGAGTCGAACAGTCTCGTCGAACTGTGATGTTTCTTCTGTTATTTTCTGAGGCTGCGATGCCTTGGCGTATTTCGGGTTCTAATAGTGTTGTGGGTTGAAATTGAAAAGCCGGCTGTGACTTTGGCGTAGGATTTTCCTTCAAATATAGCTCTAGCTTCCTTATATGCAATATTATTGTTTGCTGCTAGCTCCAGTATACTATACTGTTTTTAATATTCGCCACATATTTTACTGAGGTCCTGCTCCTGACGAATAAGAATTATTAAAAGGAAAAATTGCATACGACAATTCCTCGGATTCATAAGTAACGTTACTAGCATTTCGTGTGGGACTACAATGCCGATATCATTGAGTTTCGCAGCAGTTTCACAAAAGTTTGTCACATGTTTTGCCAAATCATCGCCTTTATGCATCTTTAATGTTACACATTTTATCATGAGAGTTGTTCGCACCCCGACTTTTGAATATAGTCCAGTTATTTTAGTATTTCACCTCGGAATTAGAGATACCCAGCTGTAAGTCTGTAAATACTTGTATATTGACACCTTAAAAGTTGTCTCAAAAACTACATATGGTAGAGTGTACGCAACTATTAAATTTCAAGGTCAAAGGTCACAAAAATTGTTTTTTTTTTTGCTTTTTTTTGTAAATATCTCATTTCCTATGGGTTTTTTGCTTTTTGTGTTTGTTCTCAATAGTGTAGAATTCAAAATTCTCTACAAATTTTGTTTGAAAAAAATTTTCATACGGGGAACCGTTTTCGAGATAGAGGGCGGATAGCGCGCGGTCACAGCATCACTTCAGGTCAACTGTTGCCTCCGGTCAAAAACGCGCCATATATAGTTGATAAATTATCGATAGTTCAATGATTTTTGAATATTTGCAATTTTTATTAACTATTATAATTCATTTTATGATTTTTTCCTAACCTATCCACTTTTTATTCAGTATTCAATTTTCCATTCATCATAATTCTTCTCGCTTAATGGTTCGATTTTGATCGAAGACGTCATCTTTTTTGTAATCAACATAATACCTTAAATCTATATTTCATGAACACTCACTGTTTACGTCAGGATCCCGGTACTCGGAATCAGTCGCTGGATTCTCGGGCTCACTCAGTACGCTGGGCTTCTACCTGGGCCCATAACCAATGTTGTCGTTAAAATTATGTTAATTTCTCTAATAATATTTACACAATAATAAACTATTATACATTAATATAAAGTAGATTATTCCTTCGAGCAGGCGGTCGAAATAGGATGATTGTATAAAAATACTTTCTTTTATATCAAGCTAGAATACCCCCTCTTCTAGGTAGATAACCTCACCTCAGGTTCGTACTCGATATAATTTTGTATTCCAACGTTTGATGTATGTATGTCATTGGCCAGTGTGCTCAATAAATCCACAGATCCCATTCCTCATCTGAATCCAAACATCGCGCCGTTAAAAATTCGTTTGTTTCTACGTACCACTCTATAACGTTTCTTCTTCAACATTTTTTCGAAAGCTTTGAAAATAAATGAAAGTATTAGTATAATATTTCTCCATTCTTTAGGGATCCAATTGCTTGCTGCTATATCATAAATATGTTTATTAGTTGATCTTCGGACTGTTTCGAGACTTAATTAATCATTTGAAATTAGTTTGGTCAAATCCGGGAGCAGAGTTTCTTTTCTTCTTTATCTTTTTTGACGCTTTTTCCATTTCTTTTAACGTGAATAACGTTCCTTTTGTGTATTAATTAATTCAGTTTTTTTTTTTCTTTTTGACTCTTTTTCATTCTATAATTTCGTGATATAACATTTTCTTTTGTGATCTTAATTTAATTTTTTTTTATATTCTTTTCAGCTGCTGTTTCTATAATTCGGATAACATTTTCGTATTTAAATTTTCCTTGTCTTGAATATAGGCGATTTTAACAACGTTGTTATGTCTTCAGCATATCCTTGCCAGTTTGTTTTCTTGGTGTTTCACGTTTTTGTAGAAATAATATTTATGTAAGTTGGGAATTCCACATTTATGTTTATAATGATTGGAAGGTGGTCAGAACCCAATGCTTCTGTACTCAATTCCCATTTGATAGCATTCATGAAATTATTCGAACAAAGCGATAAATCTATATTTTTACAATGATTATAGTAGTCGGTTGACCGCATTTAGAATTATTAATGAATAGTCTTCTATCATCTTCTATATATATAAAAAAAGTCGGGTTTTCCTTCCTGACGAAATAACTCCATAACGCACGAACCGATTTCGACAATTTTGTTGGAAAGGTTTCGGGCTTCGCAAGGATTATAACTAAGCAAATAGTTGTGCATGGCATCGTGCCTTAATGTAAGCAGCTGGAACTTCACGCACCGTAATTAAAAATTCGAGTAATCACATTAGTGAGAATTACCAGAATTATGCTTGGTTAAGTCAACGAGCAATGCTTGCCGCAAAGAATAATGATGTACACGCACTGATTTCAAATAGATTATTTAGAAAATCATTGTTTTTCACATGGGCAGTTATACGTTGACTGTTCACGAGTGGGAAAACCATCCGTTTTGTTTGTGTTAACATCAGACCAAAAAACAAAAAATGTGGTTTACCAAAGAGCACTTCAATGAAACGGATAATTTGCGGATTCACTTTCATTTACTTAGAGAAGTTCAACTAAAAAGCACTTCATTTTTGTAATCGAAATAATTCATTTTCATTAAAATTTTTTTCATCTTTCTTACGAAACCATCTTGTGGCGAAACGGAGTTCATCGGGTTTGCTAGTATATATAAAAAATAAGTCGGGTTTTCCTTCCTGACGAAATAACCCAGAATATAATATATAATAAATAAATCCAGAACGCACGAACCGATTTCGACAATTTTGCATTCGTTGGAAAGGTCTCGAGCTCCGCAAGGTTTATAGCTAAGAAAATTAGTGGTGCATGGCTTCGTGCCCTAATGCAAATTGCTGGAACTTCACGCGCCGTAATTAAAATTTGAGTAATAAAAAATAATCAATAATTGTTTTAAATATTGCAAATAGATTATCTTCTATATATATAAAAATAAGTCGGGTTTTCCTTCCTGATCAATTTTTTTCTTTTCAAATATAAAACAAGCAAAAAATTTCTTCATCTTTCTCACGAAACCATCTGGTGGCGAAACAGAGTTCGTCGGGTTTGCTAGATTCGTATAAATTTTTATCAGTTCTGTTCATCATGCTGATACCCCATGCCTGCCAGTGGTGACAATTTAAGTCTCCTACGAGAAGAATTTTTCCTGAGATATTTGTTATGTTTCTTAATTCAAAAAATTCCATTTCAGCTCTGGTTGAACAGTAGACTGAAATTAAACAAAAGGTATTCCTGTTTTTATTAACAGTGCGTATATTTGACTGTTTTCTTTTTCATTTATAATTTCATATTTTTCACATTCTATATTATTTTTTACTAATATAGCAGTGCCGCCGTATCCATCATTTCTGTCTTTCCTGTATATTTTTTGCATCCTTTGAATTATTATTAATAATTTCCTTAATTGCACTATGTTCACTACATCTGAATAGGATGCATTCATTGCATTTGCCATGTTCGCACCCGCATTATACACTGTTATATCACTCCCATTGTTACCTTGCGATAACAATCGGGCCCGATTCCATTGTGTATAATATATATATATATATATATATATATATATATATATATATATATATATCACTCATTATTGTTTGTTTCTTCGATCTTACCTGTTCGAAGATCTAAAGTTTAATCACTGATCTAAACTAAACTCTTACCTTGATTGAATTGCGCAACTTTGATTATAGAAGGCGGCACATGTACATTTTGTAAATTAACTTCTGGTATTACTTCTACATTTGTACATATAATCAATACTGGCAAAAAATCTGAAAAAAATTAATATTGGAAATAAGAACAAAACATACGAAATACAATATATTTTTAAATATATAACGGATATATTTTGAAGAATTATAAACTAAACAGAAATAACTGACTAATAATTATAAAATATATTACAGACATATTTTTAAAAATTATAAATTAAAGAGAAATAACTTAATGATATTAATTATAAACTAAACAGAAATGACTGACTAATAATTATAAAATATATTACAGACATATTTTAAAAAACTATAAATTAAAGAGAAATAACTTAATAATATCAATTATTCACTGACTAATAATAATATATTAAAACTTAAAAACTAATAAGAGAAATGCGCAGAAGTATTGACGATGGAATGACAAATTTAGCAGGAATGAAAAGTAATACAATAATTTAAAAGGATAAAAAGTACAGATAATTTTTAAAAAGAACTAATACTTTGCAAACAAAATCCCTAAAAACATAATATATATTATATATATAATATTATATATATAATATATATATATATATATATTTGTAGAGTTTCGAACAAGAATCCAAAAATAATAAAAAATAAAACACAAGAAAAGTTTTTAATAAACAATTTCTTTATTTAATTATTTGTTTACTGTCGACGTTTCGGACTAGGTACGTTCCATCTTCAGGACATCTGTCAACAACATGATTTTTTTTTTTTTTTTTTTTTTTTTTTTAATTTATTTCTTATAACCAATCTGAACCTTGGGTTCAATGAGGTTTTTGCTAACGGGTACAGGGTTTTTAGAAATTCCTCCAGTGGGGAATTTCCTTACATAAATATATTGATAGTAAATTCATTAAATCTTGCGGCCACTTTCTTTTTAATCTTCTCGTTGGTACTTGTTTCAGTAGATCTATCATTAGAGTGTTTAGATGGTATGCGCTCTTTGATGATATTTCGTACTTCTCTCCTTGATGACTTCCTGAATATATTTGATGTTTAGGTCTCGATGAATTGTTTCATTGGAGACATACCAGAGCGCGTTCACTATAGCTCGTAATATTTTGACTGTGCTCTTTGAATTGTTTTTATATTGGACGTGCCCGCACATGCCCATAGCTCAATACCGTACGTCCATATTGGTACAATTACGGCTTATATATTAGAATCTTGTTCTCATATGACATCTTGGATCTTCTTCCAATTAACCAGTAAAGTTCGCGAAATTTTTTGTCTATTTGCTTACGCTTTGTCTTGATGTGGGTGCTCCATGTGAGCCCTCTGTCGAGGTGAAGTCCTAAGTATTTTACAGAGTAGCTTTTGGAATTTCTATATTGTTGATTTTTATATTTGGGCAATCTCCTTTTCTTTTGGTGAAGGTGATGTGGGCTGACTTAGTTGAGTTAATAGTGATTTTCCATTTGTGAGTCCACTCCTCTAGTTAGTTGTGTATATAATTTTGCAGCTGTTCCGAGGCTTTTGTGACGTCTTCATGTGATGATAAAACCATGGTGTCATCTGCGAATGTTCCAAGGGTTATTTT